GGGGGGGAGCAGGTGGGTAAATTAGGGCTTGGGTTGAGGGTATTGAGCTTTTGTGTAAGTAGTTCTCTCTCTCTCTCTCTCTCTCTCTCTCTCCCTCCCTCCCTCCCTCTCCCTGCCTCTCTTTCTCTCTCCCTCTCCCTCTTTCTAAATACACCTGTGTACGAATGTGTTTGTATGTATGTGTGTGTACATATATATATATACATACACTTATATTTACATATCTATGTACACACATACATACATACATACCTACGTACGTACATACATACATACACATACATATACACATCTAAGTATGTGTGTGTGTGTGTCCGTGTTTGTGTCTGTGTCTGTGTCTGTGTAGATGCATCCATTGCATCCACGTGTACATCTGTGCACTTGCACGTGCAGGTATGTATATGTCTGCTTGTGGACAACTATACAGGCTTTGCAGATCCATGGGGGTTTATGTGCACGTGTTGACAGTCGCATGTACGCGAAGTTACGGTGCTCGCACCGGGGTGCTGAGGCCCAGGGTCTGACTCGAGCTGACCTCCGCAGAAAGGAGGACGAGCTGGTGAAGGTCTGGAAGGACTGGTTACGGTGATCACTTTCACTCAGATCGCTAGAACTGCTTCAGGGCAGCAGTCGAAAATGGTGTGTCGATATGAAAGATGTTGGGGATGATGATGCGAGTGGTGATGTGAAGTGAACCCACTGCGTTCGACCCGGGTAAATGCAGCAGTGCAGTGCATTGCATTGCCTCATCAGAAGAGAGCACCGGCATCATCTTTGCAGGTAGTCGTATGATTGAGGTGCAACTTTGAAGCTTTGGCGGAAGAGACACGGAATCGAAGCGGCTGGATGTCCCACATTTTCCGCTCAACACCTGGGCAGCACAAAGAAGCGTTTTTGCACAATGAGGATTAGGTTTTGCTGGGAGATACCTGTTTCAGAGAAGTTCAAAGACCTACTAGTTGTGATTGCTGGAAAGACCAGCGGTCTTCAAAGGGGAGCCTAGCTTGGTGCCCAGCGGCGAGGAGCGGGGCTATTTCGATCCAAATCTCTTGGCCCGGGAAAGGGCGACTCTCTTCGGCTGGGAGCTCCAGACTTGACACATTTCATTGCAGTACATTAAGGGTTTAGGGTTATATCGCTATATCATGCTATATTCAGACATTCAGTTATATACACTAGAAAAGTTGCTTTATGTTATATACTACAGCTGGCACTCGAAGTCCTCTCGCTGTACGGATTCCGGGATGGCGGTCGGCGGAGATCGAGATGTTTGCTGGCATACTGGCCTCGCCCTCGCGGTTTATATGTTTTGTTCGCGACAACCCTTACTGTACTTTCCGATCAGAAGCTCCGAGCCCGTTCTAAACCCGATTTCACTAACTTCTGACCATTCCATCGTAGTCACTTGCTGAAAGTGTCAGCTTTTCAGGGTTGAGTCATCTTTGGGGAGGCTCAGATCCAGTGTGATGTAAAGGTTACACTATATACATGTTAAATACTAATATGCACACCAACTAAACTCTGTTGCATCATATTACGTTGTATTGGTATTAGGTTACCTTACGCATGCTATGCCAGTATATTGCATTATGTTGAAATGGGATTTCATATTTAATTTACAACTCGTGCCCCATTCCCGTTTATCCTGAGCCAAGGACCCAAACAGGCGATATACAGTTTGGGCAACCAAGCTCTGCAGATCCTGGCAAATCAGAAGGTCTTCTGTTGGTAAGCTCTATATCCGCGTCTAGTAATTATAAGCAATTGGACCACAGGTTTGCCGAATATGTATTGTGCTGGTCACTTGTCACTTGTGCTGACGATTGGGTCTGTGACCGCCGCTTATAAGTACTGTGTGGATAGGTTAGCGACTTCCTTGTCTTCTTCACCGTTGTGTCAATCAACACTTGTCCTAAATTCAATTGATTACCTTTCGCAATGCAGCTCGCTCCCCTCTCTGCCAGGAGGAACTAGCTAGTAAGATCGCTGTGAGCCGGTGTGTGACTTTGCAGGTGATCCACCATCCGGCTTTCACAGGGCTTCTATGGGTTGCAGTAAAAAAAAGCACATACTTCCGACGATAGACCTCACGTTATTTGTCGAGGCCGGCGCTTGACCAGCGATGCGCAGGGGGTGGACATTGGTGTTCTCGTGCCATCATATCTGTCAGCAAGCACATCGAAATCAGGCCGGAAACTACACAATACGAAAAACATGCTTGCAACTCTCGCAGATTCAGTGACAATGTGTGCACATCTTTTACATACCCATTTTGGGGTCACTACACGTAGGAATACTTACATATATTATAAGAAAGACATGCATGCCTACACGAAATACCCCTGAACAAATATAAAAAGACAGATAGAAATAGACGTACATTCGTACGCATGTACATGCGTGTATGTACGTGTATGTATTTATGCACACCGCACACACACACACACATATATATATATATACACATATGCACATGCATATATCTGTTGTGCAATTATGCATAGATGCATAGGTATTGAAAGTTTATGTTTAGACTCTGTGAAGGTCTGTGTGTGTGTGGGTGTGCGTGGGGAGAAGCCTGTATGCGCACTTCTTCACAAACACAGGCTGTACCGTAGGCAGAAACTAAGTCAGACGTTGTCGTGGTGAAGCCTTGCCTGCCTTGCGTGAGTTGCGAGAGTAAAAATCCAGATGGTAGCAAGTAGTTGTATCGGTGCCAAATATGTGAATGAAAGTCTATGTGTGTGTGCACATGTCTCTCTCTCTCTCTCTCTCTGCGCTCCCCATGCCATATGCTGTTGCATGACTATACGCAAACACGGATGCATACATTTGCTTGCGGTGCCCATGTGGCACAAGTGTCGCTACTGGTTCTTAAGCCCTTCGCCCGAAGCTCTCGAAACCCTACATCCTTACACTTGGAAGCTCGCTTCCACCTCATGTCATGGGTTCTTGGCGAAGCATCCAGCGCTGCATCCCTGTCAAAGGATGGGAGGTTGAAGCGGGAGCCTCCCGAGTTGCCACCATTAGCCGTTCAACATTCAGTTTCGGAGAATTTCCGGCGGTTGTTCATTACCAGCGATGTTTGATGGCTCCAAGTAGGTGTATCTTCTTGCCTTCCCCCTTTAGCCCTCAGCAGCAGCAAGTGATCGATAATGACGACAGCTGCCGGCTATTGTCAGCAAGGTCATGATGCAGAGGGGCAGCAGGAGGTTGAGGAGGTGCCTGGCCTGCATTCCCTCCGACGTGATTTCGCGCATAAGCCTCCTGGGCGCCTCAACCATGGCTCTTTCGGTGCTGCTCCCGTCTCTGTCCTAAAGCGGCAGCGCCAGTACCAACAGCGCTGGGCGGAGCGGCCCGACGACATGTTCTTTCGAGGAGAGCTCTTCGCAGATCTTCGACTTGCCTCAGCGAGCTGCATCCCCTTGATCACCAGCAGTGACAACGTCCTGCCTCAGCAAGTGGCATTGATAGAAAATGCGTGTGCTGCAACGGCCATGATTGCACACCGCTGGTCAAAGCTGATAAGCCCAGGCGACGTGGTTTTTGTTCTTGACTGCGTCTACGGTGCCTGCAGAATGTGCCTCCAAGAGCACTGTTGCAACGATCCACGCATAGGTGGGCAGCTCTGTACACTCAGCATCTTCGAGGAGCACGGATCTTTTCCGAAATCCCCTGGTGTAATAATGGAGCGATTTCGGGGCAGCCTTCAGAAGCAGATCAGCTGCATTGTTGGACAGGCAGGGAAAGATGACAGGCAAACATTCGAAAAACGCCGGCCAGCACGAAGAGAGTGCAAATTGTTCTTCTTCTTGGACTATGTGTCCTCACAGCCCGCCTTCGTATTGCCTGTTGCAGAGATGCTGCGGGAAATTGGGGTCCTCCTGAGTACGAATGTACATGCTGAGCAATCAGAGATGCAATTGTCTTTGGGTGAAGTCTGCATCGATGCCGCGCATGCATTTGCAGTAGAAGGTTTGGACGTGGTACAGCAATTCGAGGGCTTGCCCTGTGAATTGAAACCTCACTGGTGGTTTGCAAATTTGCACAAGTGGGCTTTCGCGCCTCCGACTGCCACGGTGGTGTATGCCAAAACCGCGGAGCTCATGTCTCAAACCTCCCATCCGATGATCAGCTGGTTCTACGGAAAGGGCTTGCAAGAGGAATGCCTTTGGGCCGGAACTCGTGATTACAGTGCCCTGCTCAGTGTGCCGGCGGCAGTTCGATTCTTCCGAACTTGGCGGAGCCCGGATGGTCTTGGTCCGGCGGCCTTCTCGAAAGCCAGTATCCTTGAGGCCGGTAAATACCTGTCTGCGCTTTGGGGGACATCGGACAGTTTGCCAGATCCCGAGCTGGTATGCGCTTTGATGATGGTGGAACTCCCACGGGAATTGGACGTAGGAGCGCAGGATCTCCCCGGTCTTCCCACATCCGACACAAAAGAGAGGCGGAGTGTGCGAACGATTCTCAGAGATGACTTCAACGTCGAGGCGGCTGTCGGCAGTTTCGGGTCCTGCGGAAATTTCATCCGCCTCTCCTATGCTGTGTACAACACCTGGGATGATATCCTCAGCTTAGGCCGTGGGGTCATCCAAATCTTACAGGCTCAGCAGAGCATGAAGACCGAGCACGAAGCACAGAGGTGATCTTGCGCTTCTTTCTGTGCTTGCTGGTTCAAGCCGAGCGTTTCCTCCATCCGCATGCTCTGGACTTCAGCACGACAGCCTCCCACAGCAGGTCCGTGGAACTCAGCCGCTGAAGACTCTTCATCACATGATGTCTTCTAGCTCGTACTAGAGTGGCGCTTTTTCGGCGAAACGCTGCCGCCGACTCGCCGGTGATACTTAGAGCATGATAGGTGGTTGGAGGAGTGGATCCGCCGGAAAATCACAAACCTGAGCTCCTGGCAGGGGAGGCGACGACTCCTGCCTCCTGGGGCCAGGACTTGTTGGAGAAGAGCGAGAAGGTCTTGGTATGTTTTGGTCGTAGACTTGAAGTCTTGGGGCTTCTCGGGTGATAAAAAAGAACTCGCACCGTGCAGGCTTTGGAGAAGTGGGGCTGCGTGCTGCTGCGTGGCCTGCTGACACCCGAGGTCACTGGTGCCTCCTGTCCTGAAACCAGCTGCTTTTGGTTGCACACTGGTGGCTTGCAGAGCAGAAGTGGGCTCCCGTTCGTTGTTTCGGTCCGGTATGGAAAACTTGTTGCAACCGGAGGACGTCCTGAGCCTTCGCAGAGCCTTCGGGCTGGGAGGCCATCCTGGGTCCCTTGGATGACTTGAAGAAAACTTGACATGTCCCCACCCCACCGATGATCCAACAGGCAACGAGACAGGATTTGGAGAGATTCGAACTGGATTATTGTGCGGATTTGCGCGGAAACCTGTACACTCAAATCGGGATTGCGAGTGAAGCGAACATCGACATTCTCACAAGGCTTCGTTCTAGCTCTGCCTGAACCTGAGTACATGCGTCCATGCTCCTCGTGCACAGTCGAAAGTGCATCGCCCATCACCACAAAGGTCCAATAGCTCCAAGACCAAGAGCGCAGATAGATTCGTGTGGTCATAGCACCTAAGACAGCAACGAAGAGCAAACATGAGAAGCATCCCAATGCGCAGTGTAAGCCCCACGGCTCGAGACCAGGCCCAGGGAGTTTGCACCGCCCCGCCGGGCAGCAGAAGTTGGTCTGTGGGTGCAGCTCAGCTGCTGTTCGGTTAGCAGATCTTCGGGAGGTCCTTCGTAATTCTGATTCGCAAGTCTTGAGGGTGCCCGTGCCTATGTCATCCGAGGCAGCAGCATGATCCAAACGTGTCTATGGGCCGCTACACCTTCGGTCGGCTGCATCTGCTGTTCCGAGGCTTACCAAAATTCCAAATTCCAGGTTATGTGCATCGTTTTGCCTCAAGTGCCGTCCATGTGTCCCACAAGATCACGTGCCCCGATCTTTCAAGATTGTGCACCCCGACAGAGAGGCTCTCCGGAGTATGAGGCTGCTGCTGTCTCACCGCATGCATCACTCTCACCTCTGGTGCACAAGCACTTCGAGATCCAGGCGAGGCTTTCATCATTCACATAAACGACTTTGCAAAATTTTCCACAGCCGTAGGTCTGGAGTATTGCACGTGTTCTAGTGTCCGGACTTCAGAGCCTGGACTTTGCGGGAAGTTTACTTATGAATTTCAGCCTGGCCATGCCTAGAAACCCTGGAAGCTGGTAGAGACAAGGGCTCTAGGGCTCCAGGCATCATCCCCGACGGCCCGCGACGTGACAGGACATGGCTGGCCGGCGAGTCTTCCTTTCTGAGGCGCAGCTGGTGATCGCCGATCCATTTGCCGAGGTTCAGCAGTGGCATATGGATGCCGCATCAGGACGAGGACAGCTGCCTCTGCCCTCCTTCGGTACATACTTATGCAGCACATGCGCTGCATCCAGCTGCACACAAACAGATATCATATCAGCATTGGAAGCTAAGCTCGAGCGTCCGAAGTTGAGGCGAGCGGGAATCGTAGTTCGTGTCACTATCATGTCAATGCGTGGTTCCACACTACTTCACCTAATATTGTCCTGGAGTCTTGGAAGTTTAGGCTACGGCTACGGAGCTTTGAACCTGAGCTTGCACCCAACAGGGCCCTTCACTCGGACCAGAAATCCAAGCGCAAGTGCATCAAGAGCAGCTTGCTTTGCAAGTCACTCTACTGGAACACGGGTTGCGACCTCATCATCTTGGAAGCTGGCTCTTCCTTCGCCGTCTTCCTGACATACGCATGCAACAAATCCCCTTCTGTTTGCCCTGGCTGTGTAAAAGAGTTGGGAAACCATGAGGCTCCTGCTGCTCTGACTCTAGCATTGGAATGATCGTACGTGGCCTTTTATCGTACGTGGCCTTTTCGCTTCGCTGATGCTGGAAGCTGAATCAATGGCTGTGCAGACAAGTGTGTGCAAGAAGCTTGGGTGCCCACGGCCGGAGGAAGAGCCAAATGCTGCTTACATGCCAGCACTCACCCCCGACCTCACGGTGGACCCTTGCATGTCCTCCAGGACTCTCCGTCTTCCTGCCCCTTCAGAATGTGGCAGCAGATCGGGGTCCGCAGGAGTTACTACCCGGGACACATGCGCTGCACGTGCCGAGGCTGCAAAAGATGTGTGGAGTTCTTTCGCTTGACTCTTGGATGTGTGGCCGTTCAGACGATTTGTAGCTTGAGCGGGTTATGAATGCACGAGGAGGGACGCTCCTACAGGTGAGCCGACCTTCTCTGCTATTTGCTTTTCAAGCGTTGGATCGGCTGCGGACCGTGATTGGCTTTGTCCGACTGTGAGTGTCCAAAAAGCCGTCGTGATATATTTGGGAATAGGAGCTCCACTGAACCAGACTGCCTCCCGCGGCATCAACAGCATCATCACCAACAGCAGCAGCACCGTTTTCTCAGCCCTCACGGAGCGTGCGCTGAACTTGCATACAGGAGGCTTTGGCCAGTCTTCTCGCGACCATCGGTTCCCTAAGAGTGAGCCATAGAATAAGCTCGAATTTTGCCGATCTTATTTTTGACAGATATTCCGGAAAGGCCAGACTCGTCATGCAGCTCACAGGCACTACTTCAGACCTGCTTCTGTTTCTGCCAGTGTTGCAGGAGCGGAAGTGAAACTCATTCATGTAATCAGAATCCTGCCGACAACTCTCTTGGTCCTCGAAACAAGCAGTGTGCCAGTACAAATGCTCACAGACGCAGCCATCGAACACTGTAGGCTGTCGCTGATGCAGCTGCTTACCATAGGGGCCGGAATAAGTATCATTTGCCTAGTTTTAGGCGGAATTAAGGCCCCCTGTGCATTCGGCACTCCCACTCCCTCGTTCAGGACTACCGACGTGGCCTCCAAGAGAGATGCCGGGACTGCTTCCGCAGCCTTTGCGCCACGCACGGCACAGTGAAGACCGCTGAAGGTGCTGAGGCTCGAACTGGGTCCAGGATGGGAGGCTAAAGACCAGCAAATCTCTTAAAGGGATTTAAAGGGCACTTCTAGTACTCCATGCATTTAGCGGATTCCAATTGAAGAAATTGGTTACAGTCTTCTGCGGAGCAGACTATTTTTCATCCTCAAGATGGGAAGAAGATCTCGTAGTGAAGTTGACAGTTATAGGCCCGAGGACTTCGCGGGAGGGGGGTTCGCGGATGAGTCGACTGGGGGGGCTGATGCTCGCAATGCTGGATTTGGGGAGTAATGTGACCCAAGCCACCAAAATTGCAGATTGGGTTGTCAACAGCCCAAACCAATGCTCATGATGCTGGGTCTGGGGGGGGGGTTCCTTGGATCCAAGCGAGCACACGGCCTGTTTGGATTGGCAACAACCTCAGGATGCCGGTTGGTCGAGGGCTCTTCATTGCAAGGGGTTTGGGTTGGGGCGGGGTGGTAGGCTACAGGGCCTACAGGGTTTTGGGGCCTCCATACAAGCCAACAGTCACCATCTTCGATCCTGGCAGTGCCCGAATCCTAGGCCAGTCACGTGACCTTTCAAAGCTTTAACGGGTTTCATTCCGAAGCGCATTTCATTGTTAGGGCCGCTCTCTTAAGTTTTCTAGTTGCGTTGCTTTCTCTTCTCCGCAGGGGATCGCGTAACATGGCGCCAACGTACTGTCGATCGATGGAGACGCGATGAGACGCGCTTCAGTTCCGAAACATAACACCGGGACATGAACTGTAAAAAGGTAATGTTCCATCGCTTAGCACGCTCCATCAAATTCATGCGTTTTATTTTTGGAAAGAACAAAAACCAAAAACAATAATTAAAACGTAGAAAAAGCCAAGGACGGCTGGGTAGAAAGGCCGCGCGGGGCATTCCACCAGGCCAAGATTCATTAGCAATTCCTGTTGCTTGCAGTCTGCCAGACTTGGCCGCGACTGCTGCATGTCCTGTGCCGGTTTGGGCCTGCAGCAAGAAAAGGTCATCAGCTCTCCTTGCTCGGGTTCATGTCGACATATGGGACTTTCCGAAAATAAGGGGTACCTGATTTTGGGGTCCTTTATAATAAGGTTAATAAGGATCCTGCTATTTAGGGTACTGTATTAGGGTCCCTTATTTTCGGAAACCCTCATATTCCAGGAACAACAACAAATGCCGTGCTTCGTACCTGTACAAACAGGGTCCCGCTTCATCGCGACGACTATTGGCTAAAGTATGCCGAAGGTGCTTCAGAAGAGTTGGCCGGGGATAGCGGAATTCCTCAGACATGCAGAACCGGGTCGACAGGTTTAACCTGCAGGAAAGCTTGGAAAGACCGACAATTTTAGGGAGAGTGCCGACTCGAAAACGGCGAGGAAGCAATGCCCTTCGTTTACAAAAAAATCGTGCGGGCACATGGCCACCCTGGTTCTCCAAAAAATGTAAAATGCAGCCAAAATGAAATCCCGTTAGCTTTGGAACATTAGCAAAGCCCTCGTACAAAATCAGGACCGGCTGGCAATTTCGACTCAGAACAACTGCATGTCCTTTGTAAGTCAGCGGGCGCCAACTGCATAATCCCTTTTGAGGCATTTCCCGAGAGCGGGGGTTTCGTGCAAAGTCTATTGAAGTGTTACTTTACTTCGTACTTGTGACTTTGTCCACTTCTTCCTGGAACCTGTCATCGTGCAGGTAGGAATCTGTGTTCGGACAAGAGCATATGCTTCCAAACGCGGGTTCCTTTCTCCGCAAACGAGGATGCTTGCACGAGGAACTGCTAGCCGCTACTTGTAGCCGATCCACCATCACTTGTAGGACTGTTTTGGCCAGTGCTGCATGCAAAGTCCCTGCTGTTTTCCACAATCCCCCGTTCGTCTTGCCGACTTGAACCCTGCAAAACAGCAAAGGGAAGAACACCCTGGGTGGCAGTAAAGGATACATGTTAAACTAGCAGCACTCTTTGCAAGGAGGCTCTAATGGTACCCACTTATCCTTGAGGCATGCAGCCATGTATGAGCATATGCTTGTTGCTTGTTGCTGCACGCATGTTTGCATGATTGCCTGTCTGTCTGCTTATCTTCTCTATGTGTATGTCTGCATAGCAGCACAGAGCCACACACGCACACAAAGACATCTGCGTATGTGTCTATGTGTGTATGTGTGTATGCATGCTTGCACGCATGCATGCATGCAGGCAGGCAGGAATGTAGGTACCTTATGCATGCATGTATGTATGTATGCGGTTGTTGATAAGCGGTAGCTCATTGCCGCAAGTCAGAATCAGACTGTGTAGGATCAAACGGCTTGGCTAATACCATGCCGCCAGACTCCCCAGAACTTGAGCAGGTTTGGTCGGCCGGTGATGCGCTGGTCCTGGATAGTGGTCTGCTGCACCGAGGCGTCGGCTGATTGGGCCGCCGGTAAACTTAGTGAATATAACCCGGACCGCCGAGAGAATGTTGCATGCCGGTTGAAGGCCTTGCAAACGACAGCTTGGGTGCTCCAGTGCCCATGCTGGTCTTGAGATACGACTTAGTGGACAAGCCTCCGCCAGGCAGGTCCGGTTGCGCTCCAATGCATTTGCTTGCAAGGTGCTTGCCGCGTTTGTTTCTGTTTGACAGATAGATTCATCGGGATGGGGGAAGGTTGCCGACGCAGCTGGCTGTTGGCCATGTGCCAAGTCGGGCGCAGCTTATCCTCGGTTTTCCGGCTCTACGCTTGGATGTGACATGCGGCCGACAAAAAGCTGAGCATCGGCGCCCCCAGCTTGGCATGCAATGTTTCAAGACTCGCGGCCGCACGACATGCACTGTTCGAGCCCCAAATCCCCAAGGGCAGCATCGGATTCGCCAAGCTGTTCCAAGCTCCGCAGTCATCGGGGCTCGAAATCCGGGGCTTCGCCCGCCATAGGCTTAGAGGCTTCCCAGCATGAATCCGCAAAACAAGGTCGCCGTTTGCTTTTGCGATATAGCACAAAGCATGCAGAATGGATGAGAGAGTCGCAGTTCATGCGCCGTGACCTAATCGGCAAATGCGGAGCCAGGACACAGCGCAGTATCAGACCCTGAAGCGGATTCAGAAGAAATTCCTGGTTCGTTGCAACGTGCCACCCTCAGTATGCCCGCCTAGTCTTGCAGGAAGGAAAGGATGTCAGGACGTCTATTCTGTCGTCTACAGGGTCTTGGGTCTAGCAACCTTGTGCAGTCAGTGAAATGAAGTTAGTAGGTGTGCGAGCGCGTGGCTGATTAGGAGTCGCTCACGAAGATCATCCCCGGCAGTGGGGTCCGGCCTGCCAGTGAAATCAGGCCGGATCGACTAGTCAATTAGACTGTAAATTGGACCAGTGGTAGACATGTGGCAACAGTACGCGTAGCAAGGTTGCAGTGGCAACAGCAGTAGCTGCAGCACTACTAGTAGCCGCGTTGAAATTGCTGCCGGTTTTGTTTCGATGTGTTGTGTTGAACAATTTCAGCATAGGTAGGTAAGTTCGACGGTGCTGGATGCTTCATATGCGCAGTTCTTTTAATCACAGTTGGCTCTGACTCTAAGTTACATTTGCTCTGCTGCAAGGCGGCAGGAGAAGGATCTGAAGCCGGCGCCTCGAGAAAGGGTTCATTGGCTTGGGTTTAGGGGCTCGGAGACAGAAGACGAGGACGTCCGCTAATAGGCGGTTTTGGATCATAGCACGTCCTTCGCTCGCCGACCTCTGTCGCTGAGGGCGAAGCGGCAGGAACTTGGCAAGCTTGCCGAGCAAGAGTTGTTGCCGAGAGCTCACGGGTCGCGTCCAGCTGCGTGTGGCATTGTGGAAAAACTGTGGTTGTGTGCAGCACCAGCGATGCAAGTCAGCTGGGCTCAATCAACCCGTGCCAGATACTTCCCGACTGAGGTTGGCCCACATGTCTGAGTCTGGAGCAAGGACAGTGGACGGAAGTGGCACCGGCTAGCTGCTGCCGCAACGAACACACACATGCTGTTCATTTGTGTCTGAGCTGTGGAAGACTGTCCTTGCACTTTCGCAGGAAGAAGCAGGCTGAGCAGGCTGAGGTTGCCAATAAAAGGGCCAAACACTCAGTACAGGGCATTGCCCACACAAGCAGTCCCTGGGAAAGGACCCATATCCTCGGCTTGAATCTTGGGGGAATGGAACCGTTTTCCTGAACCCGCACGTTCGGACGATGCAAGGCCCAACTGGCGGATCAGATCAAGGAGCTGGAGAGGCTAGCAGGGGCTGCCGTCACGATGCTTCTCTTCCCTTGCATTTCTCGACAGCTAAAAGTTTTGCCGTTAAATAAAACCTACAAAATGAAGTAAAAACAAAACGACAACACAGTTCAATATCATGGATATACAAAAATATCAAGAAATACACATCAACCAACCACGATTGCAAAGAACACATATAATAACAAACACAAAACAGAATAAAATAGAGTGACGAGTATGGGGGGGGGGCTTCCTGGGGCAGTGGAAAACACAAAAAAAACAGCAAATATCAAAAGAATACAAAAAACACAAAATAGCTGCAATTGTAGGAAATTATGAAACACTACAAATAGGTGGAAAACTATAAACCAGAAACAGAAAAACAACAATTCAGTTTCCTAGCGCAATGGAAGATACAAACACAATACCACAAACATATAACAAGTATAAACATAATACATAACAGCTGAAAATATAGAAAAAGTAAGAAAAACACAAATAGGTGGAAAAATATAAAGAGAAACAAAAATAGCAATTCTGTTTCCTGGGGCAGTGGAAAATCCAAAAAAATACAAAAATAATACAAAACAGCTGAATATTAGAATATGGAAAAATATGACAGAATACAAATAGGTGGAAACCTATAAACAATTATCAACAATAAATTCAGTTTCCTGGGACAATGGAAAATACAACAAAAGTACCGACAACATATAAACAATGAAAAAGTATACAGAACAGTTGAAAATATAGAAAAATGAGAAAATTCAAATAGGTGGAAAATGTAGAAAAGAAGCAAACAATAACAATTCAGTTTACCAAGCAGGAAAACAGGAAACAAATCCGCAAAAACAAATGCTGCATTGTTTTTGTTGTGTGTTGTTTTGTTTTTTATGGAACTGTGTTGTTTTTCGTGTAGGCTAAATTTTGTTTTTTTTCGGAAAACTAGTCAACCGTTGATTTCCAATGAGTTGCAGGCCGCTGTGGGTCTCTGCTGACTGGGTAGTTTGATATTCAAGTTCCGGGGCTCTCCGCTTTGAACTTTGCGGGCTGCGTCAGCGCAGGGGACGAGGGCAACAAGCGAGTATGTACGGATGTATATCTGAATTTGATGTATGCATGTGTGTATGCATGCATGCGTGCGTGGGTGTATGTGCATGTCTGTATGAACATGTGTATGTATGGTCGTATGTCTATATATGTATACGGTGTGCATGTAAGTATATAGGAGTATGTATGTATGTATGTATGTATGTATGTAAGCGTGCATGCATGTATGTATGTACGTTGAGGCGTACGCACCTAATGTCAACTCTTGATTAATAAACCCCCTCTGATTAATGGCAACCCGCGCGGGCCTCGGACCTGGCTCAAACTATTTTTTAAAGGCGCTGGCCTCTTCCAGCAGAGCCCCCCCCTTGAAAAAAAAAAACCTTGCCA